GATCATTTCTTTGGGAAAAAAATTTTTAAAAAAATATGGCGAGGAAGCTTGTTTAGCTGTTGTATTCAATGTCTCCTGTAGTGGCAATCTGCCACCTCTGTGGAAAGGAAGGCATGTTGTTTTCCATACTTTTTGAAATACAGGCATGACGGACTGAGAGTGTTGTGATCACCCTGTGGTTTCTAATGACCAGTGTGGGAAAGGAGACTTTTTCTGGAATTTTTTTTCTTTTTTAATCAAGCTTAATAAATTCTAGATTGTTCTGGACCATGTCAGCTGGGAAGACTGTTCTTTTTGAAAACAAATTCCATTTCCTATCTTTCATATCTGATAAAGGAGTGACTACAGAGCTCTCCCTGAAGAGGCATATTTTCAAGCTTCAGTGAGAAGATTAACTTGTAATTTCAAAAAGTTTATTGCCGAAACTTCCTCTTTTTTTTTTTTCTTTTAATCAGAGCAATATAATTGAGAAATGCCTGAAGTTTGCTGATGTTGGTAACTTTTAAAATGTGCATGTCTTCAAGATAGCGCAACTTACTCTAGTTGCTTTTTATACAGGAGCTTACTAAGCATACTATTGAAATATTTATAGAATAACAGCTAATTAAGGGATCAGTTTTATTTTTAGTGTAGAGTGACAAAGCATAGTATGAAGCAAAAATTACTTAACTTCTTCTGAGTTTCAGGGAAAGTTGTTAGATTCCTGCCAAAACAGTGGTTAAAATGTAATCTTGTCCTTTCTCATAAATGAGATGTCACTAAATTAAGTGTGTTATCCAGTGAATGTAGGCTGCTGCTAAATTTCTGTTTCTTTTTTAAATGCTCATGTTTTTCTGTCCTCTAATAAAGTTGTGCTTTTTTTGAGTTTAGGCAGGAGTTTTAAAAAAAGCAGGATTTTTGTAAAGTCTGAACTATCATTTTGCTGGCTTAATGGTATTGCTGGACTACTTGTTGCCCTGTCCTTTTTTGACTCCTTGTGTATTCCTTCTTAACAAGGTCAAATGAATTTCAACTGAAATTTCTGTGTGACTTAATGATTTTTTTTTTTTGCTTCCCATTTCACTTCCCATTCCTTGCTCTAGAAAGCTTAATTTAAGCTTATTCAGTTATTTTTATTTAGCATCTCACTTTAAATTTTGATTGCCTTTCTGTCGTACTCTGAAATGGTAAGGTGTAAGGTGAGGTAAGGCAAGGCATGACAGAAGAGTGGTGTAAAATAAAGATCAGTTTTGTCCATGATAGGTGGAAAACTGAAAGAGTACTTCTGAAAGATTTTTGTGGTTCTACTTTGTATAGAAGTGTTTTGAGTGCTGTTAAAATAGTAATTATATTGGAAAGAAGCATTTGTTTTGAAGGATGCAAGGAAGATTAATGGTAGATATAACTTGCATCAATTACATGGTTTAAACAGTTGTACGAGCGTGGATGAACTACACTGACATGACTGATGTCTCACTCAGCTGGATCATCTAACGTTCTTGATCGGTGTTCAGTGACTGGGTTTACATGGTCATGAGGTAATGGGAGGGGGGGAGATATCCTTTCCATACCACTTTGTTTCTTGTTTTTGTTTCATTGTTCTTTCTGGAAAGAGAGAAGGTAGAAAGGATGAAAAATGCTCTTCAGTGTCTCTTGAAATGCCTTTAGCTGCACGTCTTCTTATCCAGAGAATCAGTAACTGAAGCTGCAGTCTTTAGATTTTGTGTTTTCCTACAATAATGTCTTTGGCTCCAAGTTCCACTTCTTAGTGAATCATGAATCCTATTTCCTGGTATGTACTTGAGGAAGCCACCACATCTTATTCTCAGGAAGCACACTGTTAAGATTGAGATTTTTTTAAATTATTTTTTTAGGTGACTTTTTTGTTTGGGGTTTTTTGTTTTTGTTTTTTTTTAGTTTTGTCCTGGGAGAAGTGTTATTGGTAGATACAGCATTTGTTTTGAAAGGGATCTGAAGAATATTAGGAAGTTCGCTGACTGTCTCTTCCTACAGGCTGTATTGACGGCAAATCTAGGTAGTTTGACATGGTCACAGTGAGCATCTGCCTCTAAGTTTGCAAGGATGAAAGTAGTGACTGGAAAGTTGCATAATAAAGCATTAAGGCATTGAAATACATACCGTTTTGTAAGATGAGAAGCTGAGTTTAAGAAATGCAGTCTTATCTGTGGCCCTTAAATGACTGAGGATCTTTAGAACAGAAAGATAAGAAAATGTTGAGGATCCAGAGAGAAATTTTAGTCTTTTCTCTCCTAAGCAGTATTTAAACTAATTTCTGTGATAATGCTGGAGCTAAGATCAGAATGTATAGATTGCTGATAGACTAGTACAGAATTGAGAGATTTTAATACTTTGGATAATAGAGGTGTCTCTTTTCTCTCGTTAAAGATGACATACTAAGAAAGAATGTTAACTATTTAATTTTCTCATTCATATTGCAGAATGAATGTAAATTGTTTATGCAGAACATTTGGGTCAGTCTGTGATACAGACTAAGATATAGCTTGCTAATTGTTTCATTATTGTAGGAAGTAGAGGAGAAGAATTCTTTAAAATCTCCCTTTGTGATTCCTTGATGCTCTGAATCTCTTAATCCCTGCCTGTGGTCTTGCTGATATAAATCGTATTAGGTACTTTTTCAGCGTCATCCCTAAGTCCTTAAACTCTTGCAGATTACTGTGATTCCCTTAGTCTCTCCATTTGAAGCACTGTAGGAGATAAAACTAGGTGATGTATGTTGCATCAGAAGATGAGATGTAATTGCCTGCCAATGAGAGACACAGTATGCAGCTGCTAACAGGTAATCTCTCTTTAGCTGCAGTTTACACCTACAGTTACTTTGAGGAAGTTTGAACTGTGTAAGAACTTATGCTGTCACCTCTGTCACTCCAGTTTTAAAGTTGTATGTTTGTGAGTGCAACCCCTAAAGGGCTTAAACAGATAGTTCCAAAAGGACTTGACCTACATGAAATGATGTAACATTTGCTTTTGGCAACTTAATACGGATTTGTTGTCATAACTGATACTGTTAGAAACTCTATGGGCGGTGTCATAAGGTGCTTCAATTGAATAGTTAAGGATGCGAAGCTAACTTTTACATTGTATGGGAGTGACTGGGTCCTTGGGACTTTTGGCAAGTCCCAGCACTTCTAGATTGTGCAGTATATGGGTGGGTGGGTTGTTTGTTCGGTTCAAGTTTCCAAAGTTCTTGTTGTGCAAGAATCGATCTTTCAAATGTTGTCATATTAAATGTTCTTTCTATATTGCTGATCACTTTTACTAGGGGGGGAAGTGGAAATATTTCCCAGAGAAACTGGTAATTGTTGTGGGGATGAAGTATAAAGGGAGGAATTAAGGAGCCTATCAAACATTGAAGAGAACAAAAATAGAGGCGAGGTGATTAAAAACCATGTTAGTGATTCTAAAAGGAAGTGTATTTTTTATAGTGAATAGTGGATTTCAAATGTAAAAATAAAAACCCCAGATAAAATTTGGTAATATTTAAGTGCGTGTACCTCCTTTTATTTCAGTGAAAGTCATGTAGCTAGATCAGCAGATAGCCAGCTTAGTAAGGGTAACCTGTAATGCAGACCTGTTTATATGGTCCCTGTGTCACAGCCGGGCTTCAAATTTGGCCTTCATTAAGAAGTTTAACAGGCCTGTCATTCCAATAGGTGACATTCTCTATGTGTCCCTTGTCCTTTTTATTGAGATAAAGGGAAAAGGTAGTGTAGCTGTAATACTTGTTAGTAAGGAGTCTCTCAGGTTCCATTTCTGGTGGGTTTATTGTCTTGAAACTTGAGGACAGCATCCTTTGAAAAGAACTTCAGCCCAAAGTACTGAAGATTTTAACTGCAAAAGAAAATGCAGATCTGGATGTAGGCACAGTAAGGAGTAAATTGAGAAAAATGTTGTTAAGACAGGCAGGAGGCGAAATGATGCAAATAAACATGAAATGTAACAATTCTGGGAGGGGAACTTGGTATACTTTTTTTTTTTCATTAAGAATTTTACACGTTTTTGTGAAGTTATGGATGTGTGTAGCATACTATTCTGTAGGGTTTTTCTTATAGTTGAGCTGCGTAGAAATACTGTACCCTATAAAATGTGAGGAAATCCTAACCTGCTCTTTGTTTGCTTGTTTTCCTAGTTTTTCTCTTGTGTGCATTACCATGCAAGAAAAAAACCTTCCTGTCTTTACTTTTATTGGATTACTTTGAACTGTACTATTATATGTCTTGTTTTATATGGATTAAGTTGTATGCAAGGAAAACAGGGTAACGATGAGGAAGAAAAAGTAGGAAGGAAAATAATCTATGTTGCATATATCTATGTGTACGTCTTATGCGAGTAAATATGTGCACAGATAGGTTTTGACCAGAAGTCTTTGACTATTCTGTTGAACTGAGAGTGTCTTAGTAATAATGTGTAGGAGTAGAGTTTGGGATATTCGAATCTGAGAAGTACATAGTTACTGCTTTAGGGGGGAAATCACAGTTATTGATATCAATACTTTAATATATTTGTGCTAAATAGTTTTTAGTGTATCTATGTACCTTACAAAAAATCTGAAAGGGGAGGAGGGTAGCTTTGAAAATACAGTAAAACACTGAGAACCCAGTAAGCTTATTGTTAGAACGTAGACACTTAATACAGTTTTACAGATTTATTTTTTTTTTAAAGTTGTCTTATAAAGTAGTTTCTTGCACTTTACCTGCTGGCTTTTCAATTTGGTAGATAACATCTGAACTCCAGCAGAGTTTTATAATCCCCACGTGCTTAAATATACTAAATGTTCTTTTTCCATTAAGGTTAATGTTCGTGAAGAAATTGAAGAGTTTTTTCCAAGAATGTGGAAGATAAATCAAGATAAAAGAAGGCTAATGAAAAGTGTTAAAGATCAGAAAATTAAAATTGAATGGGGGAAAAAATTGAACAGAAGATTGGTCAGATAGAAGCACTTGAATATTTTTTTTAAGGCTATAATGAATTGTTTGAATTGGGGAAGAATACACGAAGTATGAAAAATGAAAAACTCAATGAAGAATGAAGAAAAGTAGAAAGCAAGAGTGAAGTAGAATTAAAAGAATCTGGAAGAATGAATGGGTCCTAGGTTAAGTAAATGTATGGTTTATGTTCCAGTGTCTGTATGATCAAGTTGTAGATGAATTTGCATGATTACTTAGTTAATAGAGAATTGGTGATCTGGTTCAAGCAGGGACCTATTTTGAGGAAAGCATTCAATATTAACAGTGGGTTAGCAAAATGAAATTTGTTTTGGAGGGTATTGCCTAACCATTTGTTTTTCAGGAGCAATCAATATAATAGAATTACTGTACTTTAAATGTTAGGAGTTAGGCATTTATACAACCAATACCATTTTTAATACTGTCTTTTTCGTTAGGAGTCTCGCTCCCAGTCAAAATCTCCAGCTGGGAGTCCTGCTCGTGTAAAATCGGAGAGCAGGTCAGGATCTCGCAGTCCATCAAGGGCTTCCAAACATTCTGAATCGCACTCTAGGTCAAGATCAAAATCAAGGTATGTCCAAGAAGTTATTCATGTTAATTCAGTGTTACTGCTTACGCCTGTTTTTTTGGTACATTGATGAGATTTCTTTTCCCCTTGTAAAAATTATAAACCACCTAGGGTGTATTAACAGGGCTATGTTCATTTGCATGTTAGTGGTTATATAGGTGGACAAAATTGGGGAAAGATGCCATGAGTAATAAAGCACGGGTATGAATAGAAGAAGCAATGTAGAAATCACAACTAGAATTTGTAGGTTTATCTCTTCCAGAAGAGAGAAAAGGGATTGCATCTCAATTCTGTAAAAGCTCCTGCCTCCTTCCCCCAAAATCTTTTGGGGGGGAACTCTTGTGTGGACGTCTCCTTTAGGAAAAAGAGAAAAGTCAAGTGAGAACTGCGGCAAAGGTAGTCTGGGTTAGATAAAAGGACTAAGCTCTGTAACTGTTGGAAATGTTGGAAGATGCTACTTGGGGAAGTTCTTGACATTGCTTCGTTGGAGGCTTTAAAAATAGAATCTATGCTTTAAAAACAAAATCTCAAAACTACAGTTTAAAGTGGGCATGGATAGCTTCTTGATTTATGGGAGTTTTAAGATTTAAATTCACTTTTTGATGCTTCACGTGTCCTCTGTCCTTTTCTACTCCAAGTGTGTGTGTGTGCAGAGGCAAAGTTTTACAGTTCTCAGTTCTGAGAGAGCTTGCTCAGAACAGAGAAGGAATATCTGTCTTTTTTTCTCTAATTATGTCATAAATATTACCTGGCTTGTACTACCTATGTTCTCTCTTCCCTTCTACCATCATACTGTTGAAATGGGGGAGGGCTACTGAATCCTTCTTTGATCAATAGAGAGGGAAACCAGAAAACAGCATTTGTAGCTCTGGAGGAGGAAGAGGAATTGCATAGTATTACGTTGTTCCTCCTCCCCAGTCCTTGGGAGAGAACAGTAATCCATCTTCCGTACTTACACACTTTATACCAGGGCAGCTGAAAAAGAGTTACTGTGCTCTGAATTCCCAAAGTTGAGCCTAATGTTACAGCTTCTCTTCTTGCAATGTTTAGCCAGATAACTACCTACCTGTTGTTAGGATATAACGCCTGTATGAAATCGTGTGACTTTGATGGGATAATGTCTCTTTAAAACTAAGCTTATCATTGGCTAGATGTCTGCGAAGAAATGCTAGAGGAGTTAAGCAGGTTTTGGGTTTGGTTTTTTTTTTTGGTCTTGAATAATTTTCAAGCCCTGGTGCACTTGGTTTGTAGATACTGCAGCACTGTAGTGCTTCTAGATCTTTCAGTTTTTCAGCCAAGACAGTATTTTACAGAAACCAGATATATGCCACACTGTATCATTGTGCAAGTGTTGGTTACATGTGCAGCCAAGCCTATATAAGTTTAAACTTTGAACTTCCTGAAAACTGTGTGAATATAGTCCTTATTGTATGCCAGAATCACTGTCACAAAGTTAAAAATGATGCTGCCGAGCAGGTTATTAGAGAACCGTACAATCTTTAGAAGTGCAAAGTAGAAGAAACTTAACCATTTTAGTTGTAGAGAGCCTCAAAAAAAAAGAAAATTTTTTTCTCTAGGAAATGTAAGGCTTACAATTCAATTAATTATGTGCATGTGACCTAACTAAAAGCTTTCTTTTTGTTGAAGATCCAGGTCCAGAAGACATTCGCACAGACGTTACACTCGTTCCAGATCCCATTCCCATTCTCATTCCCATAGGAGACGTTCTCGAAGCAGATCGTACACGCCAGAATACCGTCGTCGAAGGAGCCGTAGTCATTCTCCAATGTCCAACAGGAGAAGGCACACTGGCAGCAGAGTATGTTATGTTCGTCAAGGCTGAGTATCAACAAAACAGTTGCTGCTTACATCAGTGTAGTCCAGGTTTTACCTTCAGGCTGAATTTGACATGCTGACTTGTCACTGGAGGATAGGGATGGGGGGTGAGGGGAGCAATCTCTCTTCTTACAGCTGGGCCTTTATTTCTTGGACCTGCAACTGCCAGGGCAGTTGTAGAAATACATTGAAAACCTTATCATTGCAAGTTAGGGTGTGCGGATAGGGTGTCATCTGCTTCCATCTGCTCTAAAAGTTGAACCCTTCTGATTTTCTTTTTGTTAAAGTTCCGAGTATACGTGTCCTTCACAAAAATGAGACCTTTTCTGTGCATGCTTGCAACCTAACAATATTGATAAGACTGACTAGAGAAGCCAAAGAAGAAAATTCTCAAGTGCTTATTTGCTTATAACATACAGCATATTATGTTGAAGGTTGCTTGTGATTTTATACCTCGAAGTAATTAATTTGGTTTAACTTGAAGAAATAAACCCATGTGTTATTAGCTAATGTGTAAATCTTAATAGACTAGAAAAATTTACAGTTAAGAAAAGGATCAGTAAGCTTCTCAAAACGTAAATGAGAAGTATGTCTGTATGGACAGGAGGAAGTATAGGTACACCAACCAAGATCTAAGATACTAATCTTAGATCATTCTAAGAGATTTCTCCCAGTGGGCATCTTTATAATGCGTTTCAGTGCCTTAGCTTCTGGTTCCACATACTTCAGGCTGATCTAGGTGAATGCTGTTACAGACAGGTCTGCCTCTTCCTTGGTGAGGGCTGTGGTACTTTTCTGATCCTTTTAGTTTAATCTGGTTTAGTTTCTCTGAATTTTTTATTATCCTGTCAAAAAGAGTATAGTCTTTTTGTAGGCTTACCTTGGTGAAGCAACTTACCAGGACCAGATAGTAGCAGTGTGAGGGAGAAGACAAGAGTGTGTGGAAAAGGGCAAGACTACAACAGTGCTAATGTACAGTGGCTTAAGCCACAGTTGTGAAGCAATGTTCGTAGTTATGCTTTTTGTGGATTGTTGCCAGTGTGTAATCATGATGTAGTAAATATGAATCTAATGTATTGAAAAATTGGCATGAATAACTGAACTTCAAAAGGGTTAGCAGATTTCCTGGTGAAAGATGAACGAATCCACTTTACTACTTTAGGAAATGTTAGGATATTTTGCTCTGTGAAGAAGGCTTTTTGCCTTGGAAATGACTCTGTGGAACATGAAACTTATTTTCACAGTGAATTTCACATTAATTCTAAGGAGTAGTTCTAGTAGTGTCAAAATGAAACGCGAATCAACCAGATTAGCGAGGTCCTAAAGACATCGGGAAAATTGGTAGCAATTTTGCCACTTCTCATCTTGTAGAGAGAGCTTGCATACTGTGTTGATGGGAGGCAGTACAAAAACCTAATATTAAAGCTGTCTTAGTCCTCCACAGTCAATGTAGTCCTTCCAGTGTTTATGTAACTGCAGACTTGATTCTCAATACTTCTCTTGTCTCAGAAAAGGTAATAGGGTTTAAGTTAAGGGGGATGTAAAAAAAGGACTATACTGATATGTACTATGTGGAGGGACTTGTCCAAACAATGATTTAAAAGACTGAGAGATTTCATTAGACTCACAAGAGTTTTAGTAATAAAAGGAGTATAGCTGTTAATGCCACTGAATTATCAGATAAATTGAAATATGGAGTAAAAAAGAAACCTAAACCTTTATAATTAAAACTTTCAGATGACTAACTGCCAGTTTTTGTTGTGCTCTTCAACTGTAATAAGGAATTGTAGAAGGTTCATGTCTTAAAGTTTGAACTTTCACAAGTGGAAAGAAAGAAGCTTCAAATATATGGGTGGTTTGGGCATCTTATTTTCAAAGCGCTGAAAAGAACACGATGGAAGATCTAAACCTGTTCATTCTTTGAATCGGGCTGAAAGGCAAGCTCTGAGGCATAAATTACTGTGCGTCAGTGGCTTTGAAAATCTGAAACTGAAATACAAATTTCAGCTGTGTCAACTTCCAGTTATTATTTGAGCAGAAATGTTAAATCCCTGTGCCTGTTGCTGCCGTTTTAAATTGCTGCATCTAGTATAACAGGTGCCAGAAACTTAACTCAAAAAACATTAATTTTGATCAAAATAATTCTTCCAGTGAAATTGGCATTAGATGAATTCTCTGGCACGTAGAGAAACTTTGAACCTAATAGAAAAATTGTACCTTGTACAATTTCATATTTGACTTCCCTTAGTTGAAGTGAAATATATTCAGTAGGGCTGTATCCCACACGTTAAAGAATCAAAAGTCTTGCTCTAGAAGAGTGTGCATGCTTTTGGATATAGTTTAACAGAACTGGACTTCAGTGCTTGTTATTATCTAGATGAAAGCAGCAGGTGATTTTCATCCACTTTACAAGTGGAAAGAGATAAACTTTCAAATGTAAGTATTAACTTTCAGTATAGTTGGATAGGAAATGTTGAGAGGGGGAAGTTTTAATAGAAGCTAAATTATAATTTAACTGTCCATGCATAGGAGCTCAAATGTGTTTAGCCTGTACAGCTGGAGGCAGTGTGCACTCTTTAGTACCAGTGGTGACGGTGCAGAAAGGCTGAAGGTGGGAGTTCAGGCTGACTGACCTGTTCCTAGCACAGACTTGTATGCCATGTCTGCAGCTTGTTGGGGATTCGAGTGTGAAATACTAATGAAATAGATTCCTGTTATTCTATAGCTTTTCTGTAATCAGAATGCTTAATTTTTATCAACTGAGTTTTTCACCAACATTAGAAGTTCATCTTTGTCTCTTTTCTAAAACAAAAACCATTAAAGTAGTTGATTTTTTAAAATATCTTACAATTGGAATGATAACTGTTGAAGTGTTAAGCTTTGTAATGAACTAGGTTTAGTTTTCTTCAGATTAAAAATTTTTGATAATTGAGACATTTTGGCACGAGAATGTGTAACTTGGTTTTTATAAACTTAATTGGAGTTGAATGTTTGTCTTACCAGGCTAATCCAGATCCTAATACATGTCTTGGAGTGTTTGGTCTCAGTTTGTATACTACTGAGAGAGATTTGCGTGAAGTCTTCTCCCGTTACGGACCTTTGACTGGTGTCAATGTGGTTTATGATCAACGGACTGGACGATCAAGAGGATTTGCTTTCGTTTATTTTGAGAGAATTGATGATTCTAAAGAGGTAAATTCATACTTTACTACTTTTAACAGGTGTGCTCTTTGTGCATTGTCTTCATGAATGTCTCTGTTTAAAAACAAAACAAAACAAACAAAAAAAAAACCACACCAAACAAACCAAAACACCACAACACTTTCCTGAGTGTGTATTCACTAGCAGATTCTCACAGTGCGATTAATTTCAAAATAGTTTGTTCAAACAACATAGTAGTTTTATACAGATGAAGCATTTTAGTTCAATGTTCAGATGCTTGGGCATCTGATGCTTGACTCGCTAATGAGCATTGTGCTTTGATTTTAGTCTGTTACTTCAAAATGAAAGTAAATCTTTAGACAGACATAGAAACCTCCTAGTATTTTTGAAATACTTTGAAAGTTAACTTTTCAAAGTAGTTTTCTGTATCTGTCAAAATTCTGAAGATTCTCTTGCTTTCCATTTTCTTCTCCAAAGGGATATCATCATGCATTTGAAAAATAGTGGCGTTTATCTTGATATGTGCCTTGGTTAGTGACTTTGCTAGTTACACGGATAGCTGTTTACAGCTGGACTGAGTTGTTGTTAGTATAATTGATCTGAAAGGAAAGAATCAAAGAATATGAATAGCAGCCTGTATTATGGTTCACCACAGTAAGCAGTAGGTTTTTTTTTACCTGTATAAGGATGCTGTGAGTTTTACTACATTTGCTGAAATTTATAGATGAAATTGCTAGTAAAAGTAAAGACACATCCTTTTTTAAAAAAAAAAATAATTCTTTAAGCCCTCATTGTGGGATTATGTCTTTCTTTTGGGCAAACTGAGTCACAGACTTCAAGCATCTTGTTTATGGATTAGTAGTCTTGGGCAGATATTTCAGATTTGCTGTTTGATTCTGTTTACATTTGAGAAGTATATTCATAATGGTTGGATATGACTCTTCTCAGCATTGAGGGGAGGGAGGGTGACAGCTGTGGAATGTACTATCAGTAGCTGAAAAATGAGTACTGATGCTGGTTGATGATATTTTAAGGGAAAAAAAAATGTTTCATGGCTGACTTGGTTGAACTAGACTCAGTTCTGGTCTTTGACTGGTTTCTGGTATTATCCAACAGAGAATCAGTTTGTGGGAAGAGTAGGGTTTGTAGATGTTTATGTCTGGTTGTTGCAGGTTATAGGGGTAAGTAAAAGAACACAAAACTTCCTTTAGTGTCCCTTTTGTATTTTCCTGCTATCACTTGGACAGATTGAGAGAAGTTAATGGGGTGAATAGCTGTATATCCATCTTTAGTGGCCTACTCTCTTCTAACTTTCAGGCTTGTATTTCTTTACACTCGTGAGTCCAGTGGGATTTTGAAAATGTGGCTGTGTTGTAGAACATTGAACATCCAAAATGCTTGTACAGTATTTCTTGTCACGTTCATGTGCCAGTCTTGTCTATTTTACAGCTTCATATGTCTTTAGAAGTAAAGTTTTTTTCATAGTTGCCAGGGGCAATGGTCATGCATGACACCATGCATTTCTTAAAATGTTCCGTGTAAATAGCATGAAGTAATTTGTTTAGTATACAGCTGTTTTGGCAGATACTACAAAACTGGAATGCAAAGAAAAAAAAGGGATATTACTTGCAGTCAGAAATACAAAAATAAAGATGAGTATCTTAGGCAGGAGCTGGAATAACTGAGGAAGTATTTAAACCCATTTCTTTCTCCCAGTTGGGCTGGTGTGTGAAGAGGGGGAAAAGATGCAAAACCTCCCAACACCTGGAATTCACACAACTGAAATACTTTGGCAAAAAGGACAGGAGAAATACTTGTTTATTTTACTTATTTTGTGGGCCTTGAGGACATATTTGAAGATGGCAGTAAGTGGCAGCTAGTGTAGAAAAAGGGGATATAGCTATAGGCATGAAACTGACAGGCTCTGTAGGAGAACACTGAAGGACATGAAGTAGTTCTCTGTGTGGAAGACGGATCAAGTCTGAAAAGTTGAGTATGCATAAAAGCAATGACACGTGAATTACTTTTGTTCTGAGTAAATACCTTTCCTCTTAAAAACAACCAACTCCAACCAAAAAGCCAAAACCCACAACACTCTAAACATCTGAATAAAGAGAGTATAAAACTGTAGATGAGTTGAACTAAATTCCAGCCCTTATAAAGCAGTTGTTTAAACTTTCATAACTTAGTTTAAGATAGGTCAGTATCAGTATTGTGTGGATTCTGTTGCAGCTGAAATCCCTCAGGATCTTTATTGTCACTGGTTACTACTCTTACGAATTGGATCAATGATTGAGCTGGTTAAAGTATTGCTGTATCAAGATTCTGAAACCAAGCAATGCAATGTTTCTAGTTCCATATGGTGGTAAAGACATTTTGAATTGTCAGCTAGCTCCATGTTGCAGAAATCTATAGGCAGTGTAAAATAGCATTTCTTAAAGGTGGTGCTTTGCAGTGTCCTAAAAATATCAAAGAGGCTGTAGTAAAGTTTATTTTCACTTAAGCTGTTTAGACTTCCAGAACTTCAGATTGATTATTACACTATAGCAGCCTTGTTGTTAGCTGTTTATGATCATCTTGGTTATAAAGAGGAGCAGAGATTTAGCCTTTGATAACTACTAGGTAGAGCAGCTGTGAACATCACAGTAGCTTTAGTCATTCCACCTTAACAGGACTTGGAAAGAAATGTTGGCTGCATATGTCTGTTCTAAAGCAGATTTCTTGTGGAATCTCTTCTACTCTGAAACTCTACTGAGATTGAGATTATATGTTGTGGTCTGACAGGAGGTTCCTTTTCCATCAAATGTCTTTTATTGCAATGATCTAGCATTTGCAAGATAGTACTTGACAAGATTGTTAAATTCTGACCCATATTGAAGGTGCTCGTGGACGCTGTCTTTATTTCAAAGTGTGATAGCAGGCAATAAATGTTGAGGATTGATAGATGGTTGTCTAGAAAACCTGAGGTTTTGCTGTGCTAATATTCTTTTCAATGTTCTTGTTCAAAGCCTATTTGAAAAGCTTATGTTATTAGCTACCTTTTTCTAGAAGAAAGGGTATTCTCTCTTATGAGTGTAGTGGTTTTCATTTTTTGTGATGTTACATTGCTTTTCTTAAAAAAAAAAAAAAAAAAAAAAAAAAAAAAAAAAAAAAAAAAAACCAAAACAAAAAAAAAAAAAAAAAACAAAATAACCCCACACCCCAACCCAGAACTTTTCTAACTAATATGTGGTACTGCTTTTTTGCCTTGTGTGTTGCAGTGTCTTATGTTGGTCACCCTTCTGCTAAGTCTTCAGAACCACATGCAATGTTATGCAAAGGGCAAGATGTGTAAACATCTGTTGAAGACCTGTTTCTCAAGATTGGCATTCTTTCTTATATAGTTCTCAGTATTGGCGACACTGGCACTGAGCCGGTGTTGTAATATTGCAGTTTTGGAATATTTTTGCTAAAATATAGAGGATATTCACCTGCCTATTACATTAGGGTTTTCTTCCTGTGTTTAGAGGAACACAAACTTTTATGTACTGGAGGTGGGGGGAAGTGGAGGCGGGGATTGATTATCTCATGATTAACAATAAATTGAGAGGATTATGAGTAAAAAGTACTGGATGTTCCAGGGAGATGATTCTTAGTACAGTTACTGGGGATTTCGTATGCCACTATCGAGCTTTTCAGTATCTCAGAATATGAAGTATTAGTTGTTGTTTTAAACTGAGGCTACTGTGAATGTGTCTGTAGCAAGCACTTGTCTGAGAAGCATTAGCTACAGCAGCTGTTGGCAATGCAGAGTTTTCTGTTTTCTCATGCTAGTTACATGCTCTTTACAGTTTTGACCATCTTTCAGAACTGTTTTCTGAAGTAGTGTTCATTAGCAATGGAGACAAACTTTATACAGACAAACTGAACTATTAACATAATTCAGTTGCGAAAGACCAGAATAGTAACAGGGTTTATCCTTTTAATTTGCAAGACACATAATCTGTGGTGCAAGCAGAGCAGCTTAGAAGCATCATTCTTGACCAAAACTTCTTGCATAGCTTGTTGAAGAAATACTTTAAGTATTGTTTGTGGTATCAAAAGGGACACTTGATATATCAGAAAAGAATGTGAGATGGTCTCAAATGTTTGGAATTACAAGTTAAAGACTTCTGGAGACTCTGAAATACCATGGAATTGCTAATACTTGCAGAAACATATCCAGTTACTCATCCTGGTTCTCTAAAATCCTCTGTTTCTTGACTCTGAAACTCTTCAAAGTATGCTTTTAAAGAGAATACATTTAATCAGTAAGTGTTTATGCTCAGAAAATGATATGTTAAAAAATTATCAGTGGCAATATTCTGATAATATTTAAAAAAACAAAATCCCAAACCAGAGGTTTTATAAACTAACTCTCATTCAAAGGTGAAATGGACACTTGAATATAACTTGGCAGACTGCAGTAAATGTAAAAAACTGGATTTCTTTAATTTCTTTTTTCATCCCATCAGATTTAAATTTTTTTTTCAGAATGCCCTTTTAGATGTCCTTGTTAAATCTAGACGTGAACTAGTGATGTCAGTATACTGGAGGGAGAAAAACTAATCTATTATGTCTGTCCATCCCATGCTGTACCTGTGATACAGTGGAGGTGATGGCTTTATTGGTGGCATTCACTACAATATGGGGAGGACTTCAGGTAAAAAACCAAACAATAAACCCCCAAAAAATACAGCGAACAAAAAAAAGAATCTTATATAGTTGTTTTTAATCAATGAAAATACATTTTCAAAACTAGTCCCAACGTAAGTTGCTCATGTTTGACTATTCACGTGTATTCAATCTGTACGTCACTAACTTTGTAGTGATGTCACATTATTGAAGTAGCTCAGAGCAGTTAGACCCAGTTGAAATGAAGACTTGACGATCTTTTGTGCAATACAAATGGTGTCTTGAACTCCGAAGTAGAAACGTAAAGTGACTGTGACACCAGCTCTGCCAAGTCAAGTTCTGTTTCTCTCTCTCTCTTCTCCCACTCCCTCCCCACACCCTTCACCCAGTGACCACAGTGCAGGTTGCAAAACTTCCCACGTTGTTTCCTTGTCCAAGCTGTTCTTTGTGGCATTATCCAGACTGAAAGTTTATTTAATTTCTTTCAGTGAATTCTTGATTGCTTTAGTAATACCAGTAATCTCTGTACATTTGGGCATGTAATTAAAGTTCAGTGTTCCCAAACTTGTTTTACTCTACCTAAATGCTAATATATGTAGAAAACACCACGTATTGTAATAAATATCAAATGAAATTGAAGTCTGTTAAATTTAATGCTTTCTTTCTAACTGTTCTGAGCCACTGGAGGCTGTAATCCTGTAGTCTGGGAACTGCTCATTTTGTCAAACTAACACCTTACAGATAATAATTTGAAAGAGTTTTGTTATTACGCATACACTGCTGTGGGTTTAAAACTGTGATCTAAGATTGACTCATTACCTGTGCCATTCCCAATCCTCATTCTCTTTTTTCTGACTGCAAACATATAGATGTGTATTCTGGCTTACAAAGTCAAATTTTCCTTAGAATTTGTAACCAAAACTAACAGTATGTGTTTGTAGGAATCCTATTTGCTTGCTTGCTTGCTGGCATGCAAGTCTTTGAACAACATTCAGATATTTGGAAGAAAATCCACTTTGAAATAAAAATGGACTGTTGACAATTAAAGGCTCCTAAATGGGTGCTATGTGTCTTAAACCCCAATATAATTTGATTTTTCTATTAAAAATGTTTCATTTGGTGGTCTGGAAAATGCATTTCTATCTTTTAAACAGTATTTGAGAATGTCTTCTGCATTGTTAGAGGAAATGTGCAATTTTTTTCGCTTTGACGTTTAAATGTTCATAACACAGCATTCATGCATACCCAAAAACCGCAAGAAAGGCAAACTGAAATTTGTTTTGAATATGACATACTAATCTAATAAAATTTTAAAATCCAAAATTTTATTATAAACTGTTTTAGCTTTAAAGAAAACACAAAAACGTGAGTAATTAGAATCACTGATACGTTTTTACAGCCTTTGTACAAAATAGTGTTGTCTCACTTGTCAGGTTTTCAATAGGGCTTTTGGTCATATTGCAGCAGCCATTAGCTAATAATGTGAACTGAAGTCCTTAGTTTCAAAGACTTGAGATGTGCACGTTAAGAATGATGCAGAGAATTTGAAAACATCTTTGGAAGGAATTTCCAGTTGCTAATGAATGAAAGCAAGTGATACATAGTATCAGTTATTGTTGGATTCACAGCGGCTTATTGTAGGCTTTCACTTTTCTGCATTTGGGGGATGCAGTCAGAACTGTAGAAGGCTTTGTGATGTCTGTATATCTATGACAGATTTTGATTATTTTATTTTTTTTTGTTGGCAGTTACTACTGATAGCTGTTGAAAGCTAAGAAAATTAAAGTTTTAATATTGGGTAGGTCATTAGACATTGTGACCAGAGTGGCTGAGTTTCATGCAGACTGGTAACTATGAACTAGTCTTTATCTACTGAAATGTAACACCCTTCTTGGTACTTCCAAAACAAACAATCAAGTCTCAAATTTAACACTTTGTCTGTCTTGCTGGTGTGTTGCTCTTCTGTGTACTGCTCCCTATGTCAAAGAACTCTTCCTCTTAAAGAAGTGTTTGTTCTTTTAACTAAGACACATGTTCCAGATGTTCTGGATTTGAGGTGGCTTCTTATCAGCTAATCTTATTACTCTGCAAGTTGTTGATCGGACTTAAAAATGCCACAAAGCAGAAAATTCCTTACCTTTCAAGATAACTTGCATATTGCTGCATTTCCAGAAACGTGCTTTTAATCAGCCAGCTATTTGCAGCCTTCCTTTTTAGGTTTGTGCACACATACATTCCTAGGATGTGTGCACAGATTTATTTTAATTTAGATCATCCTTGTGGAACAGGACTTTAAAAAAAAAAAAAGTCTCCAGGCTAGGAAACTAAAGCTAAGGATCGTGTTTTATTCACAAAACACACTTTAGTGTATGCTGAAAGACTTGAAGCAGACTTAGCTCTGCCTTTGCAGTTAGCTAAATGTAGTGGTTGTGTTTTTGTATGGGAACAGAACTCACTAGGTGGCGATATACTACAGGTATAAACAGCATTATTAAAACACAAACTACGTGTAGCTGAATAGGTTCGTGATAACTCAGTCACTTCCAGTTTGGGGACACCACAGTTAAATCATGTGGGTATCAGGTTTTTGTTTCCTCCTCTGTGACTTGTACGTTAAATCAATAAAGTTCTTGTTAGAGAGCTGCAAAAAGTTACATTTCTGAATAGTTTGTGTCATCTTTTTTTTTTAAAATTAAAAAAAAAAAGAAGGAAAAAATGCTCTGCTTGGGGGCACCTTCATGTTTTGGGGTTGTGTAACGTTCCTCACAGTTAAATTGTAGCAAAGTGGTTATGTTCTTTAACTCAAGATTGTAACAGTGTCTCTTCTCTACACATGAAAAATGAAAATGATGTATATTGGGCTAAGTGCTGTGCTTAGTGTCATGAGCTGAGTGGTGTGTATTAGTATTTCAGAGATCCCAGAGCAGCTGGTGAAAGGACCAAAAAAAAAATTTGCTTTGCAAATTTTAATAGCTTTTAAGTCCAGCATTAAGTGTTTGTTAAATTCTTATGGTTGTGTGGTGTTTTTTTTTTAAGTTACTGTTGCATGAATATAATTCTCAAAAGTATGCTGTGCTCCTTTGAAAAACTATTTTCATTATTTTGAGTTTGTGAAAGACCATTGTATTGATTCTCAAAGACTAGAGAAGCAGAGGCTAGAACACCCAGTGAGCGTGTGCATGGGCTGCGGGCAGGTCTGAAGGCACGGGCTTCTCAAGCGCAGACCCTTATGTGTATCGCTTTAGCGAGCTGCTATTGTGAGAGTGAGTGGGGAGGAAGGTTGTAATTAGGTATCCATGTAGGCTGAACCCGCCATTTTACTAAGCTCTGCTGGAGTAGGTCCTTGTAAGGGAGATGGCAGGAGGCTGGGAGAGCATGAAATGGCAGCCGACTAGCAGTAATCCGGCCATATGCACCCTACAGGAAGCCACTGTTTTGCACAGCTTTTGAATCCGCCCGTCCCCTCTGGGTCAGAGACGGCAGTAGGAAAGATGCAGTTTTCAGAAAAAGCTCTTTTGACTTTCAGTTTACCTTTCTGATGAGTGGAACACAAAGTCTAGGGAAAGTGACTGTGTTAGTGGCTAGCACTGTGCTCTCTTAAGAAGGGATTGTGTGTCACGTTACCCCGGCACCCCAGTGCAGCCCTGTAACACTGCCAGCAAACGGGCCAGGGGACAGAGATGAGCCATTCGCCACAGTGGGGCACTAGCAACCAATCTAAATAACACAAGTTCAGGCGTTGTTTTTCTGATGGAAAATAATGTGTTTTGTACATAGGCTTCCATAGTTACCAGTAGGTTGCAGGTTTCATGTCCCTATACCTTGTCTGTCCTGCAGGCAATGGAGCATGCAAACGGTATGGAGCTGGATGGCAGGAGGATTCGGGTGGATTACTCAATCACCAAGAGAGCGCATACACCCACCCCAGGCATCTACATGGGCAGGCCAACACAGTAAGGAGTTTGCTTGTTTCCTGTAAGGGGACTATAATGGAATTAAACTGAATGCATGGAATCTGGTTGAAATAGAGCTAGATATACTTTTTTGAAATTTTAAGAGTTACGCCAATTGTGTTTTATCACAAAGTTATTCATATAAAGAGTGCATTACTGTCGTTCACATATACTATTAAATCCTACTGTAGTTTATTTTATCTTTATTTATAAAAAAATACTGAAGGAGTTACTTTAAAAAAATACATATCCAGCACGGTCAGTTAATGCACCCTTAGCTTACTGAAATACTAAAGTGCCTATTTGCATTTGATTTTAATGGGAATTGGGCTCAAATCCCTGGTGGGTGTTCTGGGATTTTTGGAGGTCTTTTTCTTTAAGCATTTCGTTGTTGGATTATTTCATGGCACAGTCTTCAAGTGTCTGATTTACAAGAACACTTAAAAAAAGCTTTTAAATAATTTAAATCAAGATGAAGAGTAGATATCTAGAGTAATTTTTTTTGCTTTCTCCCTAATAGCAGTGGAGGAGGTGGTGGCGGTGGAGCAGGTCGTCGCCGTGACTCATATTACGATAGGGGGTATGACAGAGGGTATGACAGATATGAAGAATATGACTACAGATACAGGTAAGTAATTTTTATTTCATTTCTGTAGGAACAATGGATTTGTTGGGCAAAAAAGGAAAACTTAGGTGACAAAAAACATTACTCAGTTTGTAGCAAGATTCTGCATACATGCTTGCTATGTGTTAGAGCCTCATTACGTTAGGTTTTGTGGTATTAAAGTAGTCATAATCTTCAGTGTTGATGTAATTTGGTTATACAGTAAACAGTGGGGCGAGGGGTTAATTTTGCTACCTGAAGGAGGTAGAGCACATGCCCTACGAATTTAGTGGACAGATAGAATGGGAATTCATTTTTTCCATGCTGTATATAGAACCAGGGACAGCTGATACGCAGTGCTGTTTAAAAAGGGATTATTTGTAGATGGGATTTTTAATGCCTGACATTTCATAACCATCTCACTGTTTTGAAAGTTATCTAGTTTCAGAGAATGTTGTTCAACAAGAATTGTAGACATCTGGAAAAGCACTTCCATGTGTTTGCAAGGCTAGTGAGAGTTTATTAAATTCTTTGTCTGGGAATATCTTACAGTTTTAAACACATCAAATAAAGAAATATTAAAGCAGTTGTTAAATAACTGTAAGCCACAACCAAATAAAGCTGAAATCATTCATGCAAGCCAAATCTTTCAGTGCTAAGGAAATGATTCTGTTCTGCAGAAGTGGTATGAATAAGACCTCTTTCATAATGGATGTTGTTGGGTTTCTTTTTTAATTTCCTTTAAAGGAGACGATCACCATCGCCTTACTATAGTCGATACCGATCACGATCAAGATCCCGTTCCTATAGTCCAAGTAAGTAAATACAATTGAATAAATAGAATCTGGCTGGCTTAAACCTTGTTGTTACTAGTATTAATTGATCGATGAAAATTCTGAATGTGAAAGCAAAAAAAACTGGGCGCATTAAAGCTGAAATGATGTGTGTACAGTTGGTTTATAGTAATTGCCTTTTTCTCTTTTTTTTCCAGGACGCTACTGAAGATCAGAAGAGCTAGTTGAGGACACGATTTTTAAATACGAAGTTCAGATCTTAGCTTCCCTACTGCTTTCCTTCCCATCCTCCCTTCCTTGTCCTCTATCCAGCTCTTTTACAAATCTTTGGTTCATTTAGAATATACATATTTTCAGTTGAAATATTCCTGTTTTCCATCCCCCCTTATTGTAATACTCTTCAATATTGTAATTGTTGTAGTTTTTGTGTAGTAAAACATCTTAAGCAAAATGAAATGGAGAACCCAAAGTGCTGATACATTTTGGAAGTCATTCCTATTTTGTTTTTAAAACAATTGGACTCCTGACTAATTAGAAGAGAGCATTGATATTTTTAAAGCTTGCATGTCATATGTAGTATACACACTCAAGATACTTTAATATAAACCTACATTTCCAAGTAACTTGTTAATCTTTCTGTTAAAATGTTTACCTGTTACTTTGATAAACAAGTAATGACTTTGAGCCTTTTCTGTAATGACGAATTTACTTAGATATGAACCAGAGGAGTTTGGTTTTTTTGGTTTTGGTTTGTTTTTTGTTTTTTTTTGGTCAGGTAATTGCTTTGAGTGTAGACTATTTGAGCTGGAGCAAAATTTGGTATTTGACTGACTGGGAAAATACATCCTTGTACACTCAAAATTAAGGCTGTGTTTTATAAAGTTTCTGGATTGCTACACAGTGGGTAACATTTGAAGTTAAAACTGTAAAAATCCTGGGGGTTTTACTGTATTTGACTATTTCCCCTTAATCGGTGCAGAAGAAAAAATATTTATTGAACATAGCAATTAGTTATATAATTTGCTGTTCATTTAAAAAAAAAAACACAACGACAAAACCCACCAACTTTTTGGTATTGCAATAATGATTAAGCAAGTTTTGTTTCCAGTCCTTTTTGGAGTTTTGAAAGTATGGATGGAAAAACCTACAACTACATGTAAACCTTTTTTCCCCTCAATAAAAGTTAATTCCACTGAGATGTGGTTTCTTGTCCTTTGTCCTGCATTTTGTGTCACCTTGGAGTGTAGGTTAAACAAGACTTGCTATTGCTGTATGGATAATAAAGTCAGCAGTTCTCTGTCTTCTTGGGAGCCTTGTCTTCCCTGAGAATCAGCATGTGGTTACTGGGATGGGTAAACAGAGTGGGTATTCTGGCTTTCTCTTGTGCCGTCTTTGGCACTCGCTGGAGTCGTGCTGGGATAGTTTAAGGAGAGAAATACTATTGGCTTTGTTTAGATTTCTAGCAAGTTTTGCCCCCTGAAATGACTTGCCGTGTGGCTGGTTGAATGTCGATGTTGGCACAGCAAAAGGAATAGGACTACAAAGCCCTCACAGCAAAAATCGTTTCGTCCTGGTTGCCAGGGAATGCCACCAAGAGAGTTTTGTTGTAATTTTAAGAGAGTAAGAGTCTGAAATGCAATTTTATTAACTATTTCTGAATGTCAGTGCCAGGAACTACTAACAAGTAATTAAAAGAAACACTAACACACATCCAACTATTTTAAAACCTTAATACAATATACCAGGAGAAATTGGTGACAAAACAAGTTCTAACTTACTGGTTATTGCTCAATACTGTTATTCTTTTTATTATGTTTTATCCATAAAAATTTCAATTGAAAACTCTTGGTAAAATGAAAACAAAGGATCTGAAACACTGAAGTTAAATAACCTTCCGGCTCTGATGGTTTTACTGGTATTTATTGGTGATCCAGGCAAATGAGGAAATGTTAAGAAAATTGTTCTCTGTAAACCAAAGTGCAAAAGTCTCAATGTGGAGAGCTGTCAGTATTTTTAATTTTTTGTTCTTTCCAAATTAAGGAGAGTAGTGTACAGAAATAGTGAGGCAACTGGATGCAAAAGCATGGGAAATGGCTGCAGGGGTGGTTGTGGGAGGCATTGAGGCTCAGGGAATTGTGAAAATAGGAAGTGAGAGAGGGGTGGCTGCGCCTTGCCGGGTTATGGTGTTTGGGGCCTGTAACTGTCAAGGGTTGAGAAGTTGCGTTAGTCAGCTGGGGAGCGGTTCAACACGTCTGTTGCCTGGAAGCTAAAGCCAGAAAGGAGCACCTCAATCCTTGGCGTGGGCACTGTTTCTTCCGACAGTTAGACTTAACAACCGGATGGTCCTATTTGTCCTTATACAGTTGTAAGTGGCAACAGCGTTGTATTACATGGTGCATTTTGTGGATGCCGTCCATTTGAAGAACGGGTGGAAGTGGTAATTCTTACGGTATTGCACATACTTGTACGTGTATGTAACCTATGAATAATTGTTAGACTGAAATGACCATTTCTAAAACTCTGAGTCCTGAAATGGGAAGGGTAACTGGTAGCTGTTTCCTCATTCGTATATTTAATTTATTTTTTAACTGAAATCAGTTCGGCAGAGATCTGGATGTTAGCAGTTCTCTAACTTCTGTGGCTTGCATTCGCCCCAAGGATGGGAGCCTTGTCTCTGCTTTGCTGTGAATGGATGCAAGAATACTGTTTATGGCATTCCATAATCCAAATGGATTTAGGATACTGTTTATGAAATAAAATACCCTGGGTCACTCTTATTCTTTGTCTCTAAACACAGCTAGTTAAACAGATACGTAATTTCTCTAGTAATTTTTATATTTTCTTTCAATCTAGAAAGAAGCCAAGTCAGAACTCTGATCAAATACATTTGCAACAAAGTAAAAAGAAGTCAACCCAAGTAACAAAAGTCAGTGTTACTTTGTGCTAATACACAATAAGCTTACATTCACAATTGAATTGCAGGGAATAATTTAAATACAGGCTTTAGACAAACCTGATGGTTCATCTAGGTTTTTGTATAGCCTAAATTCTAGGCTTAGGATATAGAATGCAAGATAATACTTGCTCTTAAACATACCGTGTTCCCAAATGCTTCAGAGAAGTGGCCACAAGAAGTTCACAACAGCTGCTACACAGGCTAGCCCGGGACTTGTGTGTAATGGAAAATCTGCACCTGATGACAACAGTTTGAGACATACTGGTTTACATGTTGGGTCAAAATAACTTCGGGGGGAGTGTGGGGGTGTGGTGTGTGTGTAAAGACAATTTGCAGGAGGTGAAGTTTATTAAGGTGATCGTTTTGTCATTTATCATATGTAACTATACTTCAAATCTGTAGTGACATCAAGCCTTTGGTCTTGCAGTACTTACCAAAGCGTTGGACTGTGCTGCTGCGTGGTATGGAAGAGGTGTGACCCAGTCAGCTGAAGAATGCTTTTTGGAAAACCGCCTTCTGTTGTGTGGCTCCACAAAGGAGGAGCAGTTAGGTGTACTTACACCACCGCTGCCACTTACTATCAGTTTGCTCTGTAGCTGCTGCAGTCCTCTAGAACTCATGTGAATCCTCTAGACCAGAGACACAAAACAATCTGGGATAAACATTTTCTACTGCTTCCTACAAAAGCAACTTTCTTTGGTTGGGCAAACAATGCGAACAAATCTTCCTCGTGTGCACAGTCAGCGCCCTTCTCTTGTAAACAGCAGTGTAAAGGAGAACACGAAATGCGGACTTGAGCCACGCCATCTCAAGTACCTGTAGACGTCATTTCTTGCACTGTTTACATTTTATTTCTGCATAAAGTATTTTGGGTAGGCCTGCTTCTGTCTATGGACAGGTAAAAACTGTTAGGTTCAATGTTTTTCTGTATCTCGTACTGAGCTGTAAATGCAACACTTTGATCAAGTTTAGGTAAAAAGCAGTTTCCCTTAAGTAGGTCAGTAGTATGTCCAGACGATGCAAAAAATACCGTCATCACACTTCCTCAGTTTGGGTTAAACTTGTTACTAAACTGGAACAAATAGGCCTTAATACTTTTCCTTCTACCTGCTTTGGCTATAGAAGGTGAAACATTTAAAAACCTGGCAGATACACTAGTGACCTAGAAAAGGCGATGAGCCACTTCAGCCGCTCTGTTGTTGAATTTCATGAGTAAGTGAGAGACCACCTTACACAGAATGATTTCTTAACCCTTGTGGTAGCAACTGAGGGTTACATCTTTGGTATCTAATAGTAGCTACCTCTCACATGCAAATTAACAACCACATTTATTTGGCAAAACTTTATATAAGATCTTCATTAACTAGGATCTGTGAGCCTTTCTTTAAATCAGCTCTTGAAGAACAAGCAGCTATGATGGAAATAAGTTTCCCACTGTGAAAAAGGCTAGTGGTGCTTCCTGTGCAAGATTACTTTTTTAAGCTTAAAAAGTAGTTATTTCTCCATTGTCCCCTTTTATTTAAATTGTTTTTCTAATGTTTTTGGTGGAGCTTTCCAATTGTGAAGGTGCCTGAGACATTAGGGATCAAGAACGGCCAATTGTGGTCACTGAGACCCAATATTGATATAACTGTTCCACAAGCCTGATCTGTGATTCCACCCTCATCCTCCTCTCAGTAGCGCCTTAGGACTAGGATGCATATTCTCAGCACAGAATCTCAAATTCAGTAATTTATGATCTGCCAAAACTTCCAGGCTGAATTTCTTCATACCAACCCAGTCCCATTATATGTGAAATACAACATCAGCAGAGGCACAAGATAACCCTCCAAGATGCTTCAGTATTTTTGTCTGTCAAGGTTTACCCCAAAGGGAAGTACTGGCAGAGAACTCCTCAAGTTGCATACAGATGTGTCAGAGAAGCTTGCGTAGGTATTTATATTTACTTTACGTGAATACAAAACAAAAACCCACATATAAACTCATTGGGGTAGAACAATGGATCAGTGCTGTGTAGAGACCGGTTTTGCAAATCATCAGATGTAGGAACCATGAGCTGTTTGGGCCTCTCTTTTTCACTGCTCCATTTTTGCTCCCGTTCCCAGCGTGATGATAACTAGCCAGTCTTTTACTGGTTTGGTTTGTGGATCCAAGGCTATGAGAGAGATGCCTGTTTGCAGCGCTGCCTCAATAACTGTAAGCTGGTCCTCTCTGTGTCACGGTAGAAGCATTGTAAACTCATGGAGATAAAGAGAACCTGAAGGACAGCTAAAAGTAACCAGTGTTGATACCCTCTATGATGTTAGGCTTTAATAATTTGCAGTGGCTCCGCTATCTTCTGTAGGTTCTGGGGAAGCAAACACCTGAGTCTCACAGCAGTGCAGGAAAGAACAACCGCTGAACATTGATTGCTAAATCACTGTTGATGATATGTGATTCCACTACACTGGCAACGCAGATCTTTACAAATATTGTGTAGTATCTAATCTCACAACAAGCACATGAAGTGCCTTCATCAGGGAACGTTCAACAGGTTGATGGCTCTCATATGCGCTTGCTGGGATATTTTGTTGTGATCTGGACTGTAGCAGGATGGCCGCAGAACGGGGAGCTTTGTCAGCAGCTGCTCTCTCCTGCTTGTCAATTTTCACAGTCTAACGTGCTTTCCTAATGCTCCTATTTCTCTTCTGCTCCTTGCTCTAGATGTCAGTTTTTCCCTTTCTCTGAGCTACTGGAATCAGTGCAGGATTGGGCAGGGAGGAGCAACGTC